GAACTCCCATTTGAGCTGGGGGGTGTGAAGCATAATTTAGGTGCGAGTGTGTGTAAGAGTTTTTAAGTGATTTCTTTCGCTCGACTGCCACTGGGCACATGCACAATTATTGGTTGGCCTGTGCCACTTCTGTCACTCGCCTTGCGGTTGGATTTTCCCTGAGCTTCCCCCTTTTTAATCACAGGTTTTGGATAGCCGCCTTGCGTGGCTTTTAAGCGCTTATTAGAAGTGTGACAGAATTCGAAGTTGAAGAGGAAACGCCAACGCCCCGCCACTTGCCACATCCATTTGCCACACACGAAGGTCCCCACTGCAATATAATATGGGGTCACACAGTAACTGGTGGCCACGTATACAAACAGTTGTGTAAATAATCCTGGAAATAGTTTAAAACTCTCGTCCGAACAGTAATAAAATCAAGTGTTTCAGGGTAGTTTGCTGGTAAGCGAGTTGAGTAAAAATGAAAAGTAACTTCTGGGAAAATAACATTGTTTAAAATATAAGTGAAATATAAATGACAAATAAAAGTCCATAAAATAGAGATATTCCTTGACTAAATACTTGAATTTATAAGCTTTTTGTGGTACTAAAACTTTGCCAACTAAACTAGTTTTGTTTTTTAAATATGACCTTTCCCTGCCTCATTAAAATTCACCGCGTCTTGGACTCACATAAAACCTAAGTGATTTCACTTGGCCCCTGTTTTTTGTGTTTTTCTTAAAATAAAGTTTATCCTAAGCAAAGTTGGTAATGCATTTGCTATCTTCATGGCCGGCTATAAAGCGGCGACGTGTGATTAAAACTTTTATTTTGTCCCACATTTTAAGGCAAAGCCTCGCTCGCTTCTACCTGGCTAAAGGTGTCGTAAAAATTCTATCAACTCGATTAAATTATAACAAGTGGATTTTCATGTTTTTGTGCCGCATTTATGTGTTTTTATTGTGCTAATTTTATGCGAGTCCTGGGCGGCTCAAGGAGGCCCCAGATCCTTGGGCAATTTTGGCGAAAGAAAAGAACGCACACCCGCACATTCACTCAGCCGTATATTCCCACACACACAGAGAGGCAGAGACACACACGTGTGCAGATAGGCACCTGCCACCTGGCACCTGCAATAATACTTGGCACACATTTAGTGGCAGCATTTAGTGGCACACTGCGGTGGTTCCCGCCAACGACGAAGTTCATTCTTGGGACATTTCCACTCTCTGGCCTTTTCACCGCTGTGTCGCCTGTGCCACAGTTGCCAAAGTTTTCGGCCTTCCACCTGCCACCCAACCACCAAACACCAGCACCACCTGATTCGGCGGTGGCCTCGCTCGGCTTTTGTCTTATCAAAGTTTTTGGCGCGCATGTGTTTATGCCACAAATGGCACTTTTGTGGCAGCGCATTTTATTTTTTACTGCCACTTTTCGCCATTTTGCTTCATCATTTTTATATGTATTGTGTATATTATATGTATGTGTGTGTATGTTTGTATGTGTTTATATAAAATAAATACAAAACCCTGATAGGCTTGGTCCTGACCTCTGTTTATAAAACATTTGAAATTGGCCAACGCTGCGTATACTCTATTTTATTTATTTTAAAGTTGGTTGGTTAATTTGTTAGCCTAAAGATTCTAAAATTTTGTATATTAATTATTAATAATTAAGTTATATAAATACTGGAAATTATTTTATATATTTATCTATTTAACTATAACTTTATCTTTAAATTTTAGCCAACATTGCGTATACTTTATATACGACTAGAACTATGTCCCTAAAAGAGTTCTTACTAGAAACTATTTGAAAAACAAAGCTGTAAACCAATAGGTATAGGTTTTTCCTAATTTTCTGACCTCTTAAATTGTCAAAGTCCTGCACAAAATTCCGATTTCCCTGGTTTAAGATTTCCCCAACAAATAAATCAGCCTGAGCCCCATTAACCCTTTAGTTATAGTCTTCCTTTCGGAGGATTCAAACGTCTCACTTAGTCTCCTGTTTATATAGAGTAGAGGAATTCAAATTGCCGCCTAGTTCGTTTTTATTGTCCTCGAGGTGAGCATGGATCCCGGCTATCCCCGCTGAAAGGTGTGCAGGCCAACTAATGACCCTGTATTTATAAGACAGGGGAAAGTTTATAAATATTTATGGGCTCCGCTGTTGCTTTAGCTTCGACTGCTGCTGCTGCTGCTGCTATTCTCTATATTCCCCTTATTGTTGTTGCTTATTTTCATCAAGCTAAAACTCATTTGGTTATTTTAAAATTCCAAGCAGGCGTAGTTTCATTTTTGACACCCAGAACCCCTCCTTTTTCGTCCTTTTTGGGGGATCTGGCGCACGTTGTTGCCATTGTCACGCACACACGTACTATATTTTTTACGCGCATATCATATTACACACAGGACATTCTCTTGGCTTAAAGGACCCGGACGGACCCCTTTTCCAACATTGATGGGGTATAGGGGATGTTTCTGGGATACATTCATCGAGGTTCGGGGGCCGCCGCCCGGTCGAAGTAAATAGAATCACGTACACTAATTATCATCGCCATTGCACGGAAGGGCGCTCAAAAATATATGTATACATATATATTTTTATTAATTTCAGCAAGGTAACGCCCCTGCCTGGTGTTGGGTGAAATTTTTAATTGAGATCCCCGCTGTATGATAGCAAACGAGGAACTATTCGGCTCGAAATTGATGTGGCCACTGATGGTGATGCTGATGGCACTTGGATGGCTGGTTTCGAATGCAAAATGCGTACTCGGATATAGTTTTGAGGGCTTAGATAAGGTGGCACATATAATTAGCTGCCCCATTGGGTATTATGCGACATTAGAGCGCTTCAACTTACCCCCAGATAGTTGCTGTAATGTGAGTCATACCATTGATAACGCCACGGAAGAGTGGGTCCACAGGGGTTTAGGTGTAATTAAAGGAGAAATTCTACTCTAAATAATTGCAAAATTGAAATGCAAATAGAGCGGCATAATGGGGGATAAATAAATGTACTATATTTACTTGTATTTATATGTAAATTAAATCAAGATTAGGCCCCTTTAGTATAACCCAAGTGCATTAGGAAATCTCAAAGAAAAAGGTTGAGAGGCTGCACAAGATAACCATTCAAACCCCAAGAAGATAACGCTTATCTGTAGCCTTATCTTTATTTTATATTATCTTTATAAGTAAAAGTTTATCTAAACTCTGGCATTTCCTTGTAAACTCAAAGAAACATAGTCAATAAATCACCTATAGATTTTATATGCCTCCCTTTCAAACCTTTATCAAACTATTGGTAAAACAGCCAAGGTAAGACCCCAGTGAATTGCAGGGGTACTTCACACACAAATCGCCAGTACCTGATAAGGGTTCCAGTGTAGCTTTTATCTATAGATAAGACTCACAGCGTAATGGGCAGAGATTGGCGGAACCAGCGGCTATAATAACACAATCCGGACACCAAGTCCAGTGCCCAACGAAACGCGTGCGGTGCAACAAGTCGGCTTTACTACATATAACCCCAGCGAACGAGATGGATCACAGAACTCGCGTCGAGGTGGTACAAGTGCCGCCACAGCCAGGAACCACGGTCATTGTTCAGCCACCGCCACCACCTCCTCCGCCGCATGACAAGGGCTGTTGCTGCTGTCCCTGTTGCCCCTGCTGCATGCAGTGTGGCGATTGCTGTTGCTGCTGTACAATCATGTGAAGAAAATTGGACAAAGTTGCGGCAGCAAAAACAAAGGACAAGGAAAAGAGCCTCTTAATGTGTTACGTTAAATTAACTTTCTATGTCACAACACACAACAATTCACACAGTTTTTTCGTGCAATAAAATTTTACGATTCCGTTGTAAATAACACTTTGTCCTGGCACTCACACTCTACCACTTTCGTTCGCTGGTAACATATTGTCTTACATAAATCTCAATGCCAAAAGACCACATAATAATAAAAAGCCAAATTTAATAACATACCACAACAACAAAAATTTGTAGTTTTATGGCGGCCACAAGGGGAAGCAGAAAAATGGGGGACAGAAGGACAATCATTTCTGGCTGCGAAATGCTCACCACATCATTCCAAAAGTTAGTTCACATTCCAAGTTATTATTTATATGTTTCTCAATTTGCCAATAAAAGCGGAAAATGTGTCAAGAGTCGCTCCATGGGCCTGCTGCTCTCATTTGATAAAGGATTTTATGACTCTTGGCGCTTGAATTGCAACCGCAGTGCCAGAGTTCTCGCCCCCAAAATACATATATATATTTTGACGAGGGTCCTCCAAATGGGACCCCAAATGGGAGAGAGAGAGAGAGGGGGTGCCACGCTGAGTGCTACTCCGAGTGCGAGTGCGTTTTCTGCCTGCTCATTTAACATAATTTTTTGGCCCAAACTCTCTTTCTCTCTTGGCCAAATGTTTATCTAAAGCTTAAACAATATTACTCATACGCAACGTGATACGCCAGCCGGAAGACAGTGGGGCAGATATCTGATTAGTATTAAGTTTGTGATTCATTTCAGCTTATTGAAGAGTAAATGTTTAAATAAATGTTAGCAGCAACTATAAATAAAAGTCCTTTTAAGGTGGATTCATTTTAAAACCAGTCTAAACGCTTTTCTCAATAAACTTATGGAAAAACCAGTATTATTGAACTAAAATAATTGGGAAATATATAGAAAATCGAGTAGACTGACTTTTAAAAGTTAAATTTAAAAAAATAAATGCTTATAGAGGTTTGTATTTGTTTTAAGGCTTGGTTTATTGTATTTATAATGTTGTTCTTTTTGGGTTTTAAAATTTATAAATTTTTTTTTATTATTACCAAAAATATCCATAATTTCCCCACTGTTCTGGGCTTGGTTATTTCAATGTTATTTGCGTGTACACACTATTTGTAATCAGGGCAGCTCATTGATCAAATTCCCGCCGGCTTTAGATAATAATGAGTAAGATATTGCCAGCCCAGCCATTTGCGTTCGATGTTTCAGTTAAAGGCGCGTCACCGTGCCGCGTTCACTTAGTTACGTTTTTTAGTAGTCACTAACTACAGGCACTTGCTTTAGAAACCTAAGAACCAAAGGATAAAGGATGTACAACGCTGGCTACCAGGTGGACGTGATCGATCCGTATTATCAACCTCCCGTGGAGGTGATAAATGTGGTGGGACCTCCGCCGCCTGTGGAGGTAATAGTGCCCTCGCCGGTCTACAATCAACCTGTTGTGGTTGTGGAGCAGCCCAGCTATAATCAGCCAGGACCACCATCAGGACCCAGCGATGCCGAGTGCTGTATGCTTTTGGGAGCCTGTTGTGTGATGGAGGAGTGCGGCCTGTGTGTCATAATGTAGAAATGTGAAATTTTGTGAAATACTTGTAATGGATAAGAACTGTGTAAACTAAACGATAAATATAGACTGAAAAAGGTTGACCAAAAGAAGTGATGTTTTTAATGTTTGGTGATTAAAATAAAGGATATAATTGTGCTATAGATAAACTTTATACAACAGAAAAACTACTCAAAATGTTGTGTTTCCCTTTAAAAACCAAAGTCTACTTTCAACATGTTTAAAATATTCCTACGAAAATACATGATATCATGCTGATAACAAAGCCTGGGACTTTATGCAAAAACATAAGCAACATGAAATCCGGGATTTATTGATAACAAGCTCTTATGATATTTAAAAGTCAACAGAAAATGGCGGCAACTTATTCTGACTTTTTCTTAAGTAACTTTCCTTGCTAAACGAAACCATCAATATTAATAAACATGGATTTTAATTTCTTATTGGTCAATGAGAAAACTGATATACAGATAGGCTTTCAACGATTCCCCCAGTAATATTCGTCAATTGTCAAAGTAAAAGGCACTGTGTACACAGGGAGTCGTTCATCCCTTCTTCCCTTCTTCTCTTTTTTTTTTTTTTTTTTTTGAAAGCCACGCCCAAGCCCATTTCCTTGGGTTTCCTTTTAATAAATATAAAGCGTTAATTTGCTGCATAATTGCGCCCTGCCACACCCAGGACACAGGACTCTGAAAAGGAAACCGACCCCTTGTGTCCCAGTTAAGTAGCGCAGCCTCGCACTCCACACTCCATCAGCTCAAGAAACGTTGTCTATCCCCCATCTGGACTCCCTTTTTCATGTCTTCAATGACAGTTATTTCATTTTTCTTGTTGATGTCTTTCCCTGCACTCATTAAATCAAGTTAAAAAGGCATATAGCACGCAGTGACTGCTGCTGCTGGTGATGTTGCTTGTTGCCGTTGCCTTTGCCGTTTCCGTTGTCAGCCAAGCTGTTGAGTTGTCCTGGCCCAAAACACCCTGTTGTTCTTGTGGCTGTCTTGCCGCAGTAAACAACCGACGACGACGACGACGACGACAAACAAGCAAACGACAAAGACACTGCGTCGAAATTTCAAATAACATCTCTCAGAGAACTCCAGAAAGGAAACAATAAAGCCAAAGCGAAGAAAGCGAAACTCCTGCCACCTCGACTTTAATTATAATAACTCGGGACTCGTCTTGTTCTGACATCCTGGCTGACTTTAATGGTGCCACCGCAAATGGGGAAAGCCGAAGAGCACCTGACAAGCAGCTACTTTTGGTACACTAAATGGAGTTACGGCTCACATTCACCGCTCTCTGATATTGCTAAATGGTTCAAAGAATATCTCTGCAGCTACTAAAAGTAATTTGGTGTCGGGAAAAATGTTGTTTGTATTTTTTTTTTCTTATAATATGTTCCTCTGGGGAAATGGCTGAGTCACTTGTCAACAGTTAGGAGCTCTCTCTCTTGGGTTTCAAATGGTTTTTGTGGTTTTTGTTTCTTTGTCTTATTGAATATGGTAATAATAATCGTCATTATCCTCTTCGGGTGGCTCGGGCAGTTCCATTTGTAATATTTGCATCTGCTGATCCCTGGAGATTGGAGCATAGGGTGGCTTTTTAGCCAACATCGGCACAAAGCGCAGATCGCGATCTCCAAATAGTTTCTGTGCTAGGTAGAGGAAAGGGCCTCCTAGGTTGCATCTTAGTTTAAGAGATATTAAAACTTCTTCTTTCAAGTGCCGCAGAGGGCTGCTGATCGTAAACAGGTCAAACTTGTTGGCACACATGGCCACTGGGATATTGCCACAACGGCTAAGAAGGTCGCTCTCCAGCTTGGGCACAGCATCATAGCTGTCACAGGAGGAGACGTCGTACATGATTATGGCACATTTAACTTTGGTATAGTGCTCCTTCTGACCGGTGCTCTCCCAAACTTTGAAGCAAATGGGCCCGCGACTGGTGTGGTAGGTGAGTTGGCACTCTTTAGTCTTACGTGTGGGTATGTAATTCTTGTCAAAAGCTCCAGTCAAATGGCTTTGAATAAGGCTCGTCTTTCCGCAGCCAGCAGGGCCAATGATTACGCACTTGAAAGTGGGAATACACTTTTTTTTCCTGATCTGTGACATTTTTGATAACTCTCTGAGCTCTGCTTTCGAAGGTGTAAACAGACTGACTGATATGTTAACAAATCTCTATTGACAGGGGGTAAGATCAAAGGAGAGGTTACTGAGATTTCAAACAAGATTAGTATTTATTTTGGAGTTTAGTAGTTAAAGAAAATATCTAGTAAGATAATTATTATTATTAATATCTTAACCCACAAAAAACCTATTTAATATAGATTTGGCCGACTTTTTAAAAACCTCTTAGAGTCAACCCTCAAAATGTGCAACAGCATAAAGTTGTAATCATGGTGAACAACGGGGCAAAAACTAATGCATATTTCGTGTTTGCCCCGGCAATGAGGGCAGCTCACCCAGTTGGCCAGTCACGGCGCCAATTTTCCACCCTCCTCACGGGGGTGTGTAGTATATATTCTACGGTATATATTGTTATAGTATAGTGTGTCTTTTACTTATAGTTGAGCTTGTTGCATTTCTTGCAAGTAATTTTGTTATGAGTTTCTACTGTTTTGGGGGGCAGTAATCCTTATAAATGAAGCAGCAAATTTGATGCTGCAAGGATCGCCTTCGGTCTGATTCCCCTCTATTTACCACAGTTAGTTGACTTAATGCATTCGCCTTCGTCTCGCGCTAATACACGTTAATATCCTCTGAGCTATGAAATTTCGCTCATTTGTCAGGATTTAGGGGGAAGAAAAGAAGGTGGCGGTGGCGGCGGCAGCGGCCGGACACGGGAAATTGCAATTGTATTTCATTGTTGTGTTTGTGGTCCTTGTTTCGACGTTGGCTTTTGGCAATGATGATTTATCGGGCCGACACGTGAGGTGGCCCCCCCATGGGTGGGCGGTTTGTTGCACCCAGCCTCATTAATTTCTGCCTAACTGGCTCATTAAAAATTAATCCGTCAAGGGACCACCGCGTCGTATCAATGGCTCGCTTTTAAGACAGCTCACTGTAGCTTGGTAGCTGAGCGCCGCAGCTTGTTAGTGTCAGATCGGCTTACGAAGCCGCTTGAATTTGCGGATTCATTGGAGAATTTGCGAAAATTATTTCTATTAAGCTCTCTCTTTAGAAATCAATCTAAAGATGGGGTAGGGTACTTTATTTTTTAAAGAACTCTAAGGATTGGAAGGGAATTAACACATATTTTTCGTAACGACTTCTCTTTAATTACTTAAAGTTCTTGTCTTACGAAAGGATAAGTAAGGGTAATAGAAAAATAACTAATTTAATCGCATAATGTCTGAAAGTAGAGAACTTAAGGTATTATGGCTTATAAATTATAATAAAAATTAAATAACTGCATATTTTATATTGCTTAAAATTCTTAAATCTTGTACTGGAATTGCAATTTAGACCTATTTGTAGACTTAGAAAACTTTTAAAATTTAAGTATTGGGTTTATAGGTAAAATAAGTAAAAATTACTTTATTATTATGCTTTATAAAAGTATTTTTTAATCAATTGAGAGATATTTTAACATTATTATTATTATTATTTTTTCAGAATTTTTTCAAAAATATTTTTTATGGTAAATAATAATGTTGTGGTCCCTCATTGGGCGCCATGTAAACCGTAATATACCATTTAGGTATAAAATAATTCATATTAATAACACTTTTTTAATATAAATATTATGTTATATTATAGCCATTATGTATTACAACCAAAGCTAAGAAAAGTAATGAAAAATTTATAAAACAAAAGGCCACACAGGTATGTTATTGTACACCGTTATTCACCTCCTTCTGACACCAAAAAAAAGGACATTTCATCTAAAATGAATACCACAGAGAATGGAAAGCACCTGAATGTCAGCGTTTAGCCACGCATTAAGACACTCAACCCAGTTGCATTTATAACTGTGTATTTGTTGCTGGGCTCCTTTGTGCGCGACGTCACCTGGACGGGCGCTCTGTGCCCCGTGGGTCTGGGGAAGTGGGTGGGTGGGTTGGGTGAGCACTGACCCGCTAAGTGCCGTTCGACTCGTGCCTCTCTCTGGCCATCCCGCTCGTTCCCACACACTTTGCATTGCCGTGTCAAGTGCGAAATGTGCAATGCAATGCAGGAGACAAAGCAACCACATTCTCCACTCTCTCTCTCTCTCTCTCCTCTCCCTACTGTTGGGGGCTCTCAAATAACGGCACTTGCATTGTGCCAGGCGAAATAACGGTGCAGCAAAGAAAAAGCACAACACACAGAGCACGAACAATAACTTCTGTGTGACACATTTGGCAATGCGTTTTTAAACTGGCGAAAACAAAACGAATGTGGCAGCCGCAAAACAGAATAGAACAGTGCAAAAAGTCAGCAGCAGCGGCAAGTGGCGAAAAGTTTTTAACAATTTCTTTTTTTCTTTGGTTCTTTCATGTTGTTTTTTTTTTATTCGGCCTCGGCACTGAATTGCACTTAAAGTCAGCGCCAGTTAAAAACTTTCTACAAAAAACTAAAAATAGGAGGAGCACAAGGAGAAAACTCTTGCATAGAGTGCGAAAGAAACAATTGAAAACTTTATTGCTTTTGCCTTTTTCACTTTTGTTCGCAAGTATGTTGCGTTGACAAAAACCAGAATGTGATCAGCTGGGGCGACGGCAGAGCAGGAAGCCAGCACGAGCTGGAAAGTTTTTCGGGTGCTTTTTATTAATTTTAGAACTCTTCACCAGGAAGGCAAGAGAGGAGGTGCCGAGGGTAGGGAACAAGGATATAACCAAGGAGGCAGTTGGGCAGCGGGACAACTCTCAGCAGCTGCGGTCAACTGGGGCGGGGGCTGCCCACTAATTGGCCTTGTGAAAATATTTGCTACGCTTATGAAAACAGTTGACCGCCGTCAGGGCCCACGACGACCCTTGAAACCGGAATGACACCCACAAAGGGCGAGTGGCCAAAACAGTTGCACTCACACACATGTGCATAAATATGAGGCACTCACACGGGCTTTCACATACACATACAAAGTCACAGGAGCCGTTAGTTTATGGCGAGAGAATACGTGAATAAGTAGGAAGTTTTCAAGAATACTCATAGGTGAGTTATCAAATTTATAGAAAATAAATTTGTAAATTTTATAGAAAATATTAATTTATCAAATTATACATATTTTTTTGAAAATGTAAACGGGCTCTAAAATGGTTTTAAATTAGATTTATTCAGATAATATAAAAATAAAAAAAAGGTTTACATTCTGCTGTACATTTATAATCAATTATAAAAAATTATTCTTCAAATTAAGTTTTCCAAGGCTAAACAGCTATTTTAAGAACTTATTTTAAGATCAAGTTCTATAAATTCACTTGGCAAATTACAAATCCCCTTACGCATAAACATAATTACAGTCCCCGGGGCCATTTAGGCACTCACAAACACACACTCTCGGTTAGCAGCTCCTGGGGTAAGCCAGTCCCAATCACAGACACATGCCGGACCAGCCGCAGGACCCCCTGTGCCATGGCCTCGCAACTCTCAACCCTCACAAACACCGCAATTTTTGTCAACTGAACTAATTAATTAATTGTGGGCGGCCACCGTGGCCTTCCAGTTGAGACCGAAGCGAAGCGAAACGGACCGAGGACGAGGACGACGCCGCCCAGTCGCCCTAGTGCCCGCCCACTTGCTAACTGACCGGCAACTAATTTTTATATTTATGAGGCCGGGGGACGTTGGCCTACTGCGTCATAAACTGTGGCTCTTTGTTTACTATTGTTGCTGTTTTGTATGCATGCGTGTGTGTGTGAGAGTAGTCTGCCACCCACTTCCCCAGGCCATGTAAAAGGACATTTTATCCTTGCCACAGACTCCATGCCGTTTTTGGCCAACATAAAGTTGCATGTTCAAATTTTTAGTATCTTTGTGTGATTTCATGCGTTAAAGCAGAATTTTTATTTGCTACCCGTAAAGACAAACGATACCAGGACACAGCTAGGATGCGAGGATATAGGGATTTGGGCATATGGGACTGGGAAGCATTTCGTTTAATTTTCATGTCGCGTTGAAAGTTTTATACAAGTATTTATGGCATATAAATGAAATATTTGCGACGAGGGTAGAAATTGGGCAATGTTTGCTAATGAAGGAGTTCGATTCGCTTTTAAATGGTTAATTGGTCTGAGGTTTTCGGTATGAAGTACCCAACGGTTGGGGGAGACAACGAAGATGTGATATGAATACTAAGGGACTTTTCTTTCTTAAGAGCCATTATCAGATTGGGTTTTAGCGAGTTGTGAAAACAGGGGAATGTTTAATTAAAACGATTGAGATTTTGGCATGTTTATGAATTCGATTTACTGGTTTTTTGACTATATCCGAATGAAAAAGATTTTGGTATTACAGATAATAATATGGGAAATTAAGGCAATAGAGAATTTAACTTGGTTTTAAGGTTTTGCATCTTAAAATTAATTTTTAAGCAAAGAAAACTAAGATCTTGGGGAAATTCAATATATAAATAAATTCCTAATAAATTGTTTAAGGTAGTCTTATTAGCAGAAAAACTTTTAGTGTAGTTTTATCTCATTTCCTTTCATATATGTATAAACTAATACAATATTTTAAATTAATTTAAAACTTACAAATTAAAGTAATGCTTCTTCTAAATATATTTTATTTTATTTTTTAAATTATATTTTGCAATACCAACAACTTCTTTGTGATTCCCTACACTTTTCTATATATTAATGCCAATTTCCGTGATCCAAAATTTGTATTCCTCACGATTATCTTTTATATTTCTTCCATTTATTTGATAAAAAATCCTGATTATGTTTTTTATCTTTGCCATTGGCAATTTCATCCTTGGAACATGACATACATAATGGCACGCCTTATGTCTTTACCAATCTTAATATTTTATTATAGTCATTCGATTTTGGATGCTGATGAGGGAAGGATAATGCCACGGACACAGGGTGCCCATTAATGCATATTAAATGCAATTTTTTAAGAGCACCATTCGATGAAGTTATTCGGTTTGCCGCCTTTAATGGCAAATATAAACATGGAAAACGCGC